GTTTCCTTAGACACTAAACACAGAGTGCAGAGTCCACTGGAGAGGTGGCCGAGCATGATCAGCATGAACAAGCCTAAGGTGGGGTCCAGGCCCTATGAATTCCTTCTTCACTACAGCAAACGACACACACCCTGTGGGGAAGGTCTTTTTAGCTTGGTTCCTATTACCCAGCACATCATGTCTGGCTTTCAATTAAAAAAAAAAAAATCACACAGTGTGCTAAAAGGAAGGAAAATTACAGTCTGGAAAGACAAAATGAGCGTCAGAGATATACTTAACTATGGGACAGATTCTGGAATGCTTTGAAATCACTATGATTAAGCTCTAATGGAAAAGGTAGACAGCACACAAGAAGGAATGAACGATGCAAGCAGAGAGGTGGGAACTATCTGATGGGCTCGTGATTAGATTAGACATAGATGGGAAAGAATCACTGAGCTTGAAGGTACGTCAGCTGAAATGTTCCGAACTAAAATGCAAAGAGGAAAAAAAAAAAATAAGAATGGGTGGGAAGTGGGAAGTGAAGGAGGAAACAGAACAGGCTTTGTCTTGAAAGCAGGACTCCACCTTGGGCTGGACTGTGGACTTCGAGCTATATGCCCAGTATCTATGGAAACGACCTACCAAGAAGGAAGAGCCCCAGGGCTCCATTGCCTAAAAGAATACGCTAATTATCTGTGGAACCGAATAGAATCATACATGCTATTATGCTTATTGGGGTATGACCACAGGCCTATTGATAATTGTCTACTGTTAACTACCTAGGCTTAAGGCATATGAATGGTGGGTTAACTTTGATTGTATCGTTCTATTTCCTTTGTTTAGATTAGTTTCAAGGAATTTGGGGATGTGGGTTTGGGCACGTACACTTAGGGTTTATAAGGATTTCACAAAAAGCTGGTCAGGGTCCTTGGGTAAGAGGAAACTCTGCCTAGGGCCTGTCCGTATAATAAACTGCACTCCACTATCTGCATTGTCCTTCTGAGTAAACTGCACTCCACTATCTGCATTGTCCTTCTGAGTGAGTTTGTTTCCTGGAAAGCGTGGCTACAACAAAAGGACCACAGAAGCTAGGATCCGGGTAACTTAAGTCCAGCTCAGAGAGGCATTTTTTAAAATGGTTTTTGAAAAAAAATTGTATTGATTTTAAATTGGAGGATAACTTCTTTACAATGTTGTGCTGTTTCTGCTTTACAGTGATGTGAATCAGCCGTAAATATATATATCTATCTCCTCTCTCTTGGGCCTCCCTCCTCTCCATCCCACCCGTCTAGGTCTTCACAGAGCACTGGGCTAGCCTCCTTGTTATACAGCATCTCCAAAGAGGCATATTTTAACTGAAGCTTACATCAGACATTGCTTTCTCCCAATGCCACATCTTCCCTGCCCTCCCAATCTCAATCCTGTCCTGCGGGCCTTGGTGGGAACATTAGGCGCTAGCAAACATGAGGTGCAGTACAACGTGGGCTTCTCTGTTTCCTGGCACTGGCATCCCAACTTTGAATCCATGCATGCGAGATGGCCAAGCAGTGCTCCAGTAATTATAATGGCCACATTATTGCCTGTGCATCTGACACAACTAAAAGCAGACTGAAAATTGTTCTCAGACCCATTTTTCTACATTTCAGTATTCCAGTGTCTTTATAGATTTTTAGATAAAACATCATTCAACTATGGACTTTATAGATGGGAAATGTACAATGCTTTCCAAGTTGCCTGTGTTTCTAAAAATAAATGATAGTTTTCAAGTTCATGTTTTGATTTACATAAATTAATGCCTTATATTTTTCCATAATACTTCCTGATGAAATTGCATTTGGCACTTGATGACGAAGCTTACTTGAAGAGTCATGAATCCAGTTCCACAATTATTGAATTTCTAAATGGAACAGTTGGCAGCTCTTTCTTAGCACTGATGATATTTGGGTGATCCTAAATCAATCAGGGTATAAATACAAATCTATAAAAAATAGATGTGTGACTATCATTTTATATCAAAGAATGTTTGGTTTAGTTGAAACACTGAAATATTAGATGGCCTTTGCTGAGGGGCAAAATATACTGTAGGGTCTGTGGTCATCAGTTCTGGAATAAATTTCCTAGGTTGAGATCCTGTCTCTATGTCGTAGAGGCTCTGTGACTTTGGGGATGTAACAGCCTCTATATTCCTCAGAATTGAAATATGCAAAATTGAGATGAAAACACCTCCCTTGTTTAGGTCTCATGTGAGTAAAGGTATTACTATACACAGGTCACTCCCAAAGTGACTAAATAAGTGGTTAATGAGTATTTGCTGTTATTTTATTTTTATTTGCTGCTATTTTAAAACTTTCTTTGGTCCTAAAAATTAAACTACCCAGAGACTCCCTACTAATGTCAAAGCCAACTGAAGATAAACTATTTGTAGTTCTGAAAAACACGTTAATGTTTGACTAAATGGTAATTTACTTGCCACCTGATGATACAGAATTTGATCCATATGGTCAATATATCCTTCCATAATTGAAGACAGAGAACATCAAGAAGAACCATATTTTCCTACGCCTGGTGTAAGGATGGATACTTCTTGCTCTGAATGGGCTCTGCTTGAGGTTCTTTTCGTTTTAAAAGATAATATATTTAAGAGTAGTTTCAGTTTTGCAACTAAATTAAGAAGATAGAGATTTCCCATATACCTTCAGCCCCACAAATGCATAGACCCCACCATCAACATCGCTGCTGCAGAATGGTCCTTTTCATTTTACTTCTTTTAAAACCAAGGATGAACCTACTTTTCTTTTTTTTAATGTACTAAGGAAAGACAAAATTAAAGTCCACTCTGGCGTCACCGACTCGATGGACATGAGTTTGAGTAAGCTCCAGGAGTTGGTGATGGACAGGGGGCGGGGGGAGGGGGGGTTGGTCCCTGGGGTCGCGAAGAGTCAGACACGACTGAGCTACTGAACTGAACTGCAAGTCCATTCAATGCCCCTGTAACGGACGTAGCTCCCTTTCTCACTTTCTTTTGTTCTCTTGAAAGTTCTCAGTGGAAAAACATCCTTTATCAGAAGCAAAAAGCTTAATATTTGGGTGCGGGCCGCGAGAACTTTGTTTACAAAGAATTTGTTTTACTTCCCGCTTCCTGTAGATGGAGCTAAATCCTCAAGTATGTGTTCTGTGTTTGCACATCTAAATTCCTGGGAAGGAAGTCTTTGGAAGACAATGTTGTCTGAAGATTCTTCATCGCTTTTACTGAAAGTAGTGCTACAATGTGCAAATTCAGTGCTAAAAAAACCCCAACGCATTTTTGAAACACAAGCCCTGTGCCTCCTTCTTCTTTGCAGGGAGCCTGTCTTAAAGAGCAATGGCCAGACCTTTCCCTCCAAGGAGCAAGTGTCTTTTAATTTTATGGCTGCAGTCACCGTGGGCAGTGATTTTGGAGCCTCCCAAAATAAAATCTGTCACAGTTTTCATTCCCCCCCCCCATCATTATAGTAGCTTGTTGCTACTGTTTTATATTTCTGTGTTTTGTGAAAAATTAAACTGCCCATTATGCATTGTCCTTTTCTACGGGTGTTTCCTGTGTCCTGGTCGCCTCACTTGCTCTGTGTGGTTGAATGACCATATATAACAAGTTATGGTGACCTCTTAGTATTTCAATCAGTTAATAAACATTGCATATCTGGGGACAGAGAGATGCACTTGATTACTTTCTCACATGGTTTCAAAAGGATGTGAGAATACAATGTGTCAGACCAACAGGAAACTTAAAAAAGGAAATAGAAAAAAATGTTTTAAAGGATCTGATTGTGTCCATACCAGGTTCACAGCCCTGTATTTGTTCATTGATTCCAAAACCAGGAAGAGAACCTTTATACCTTAAAAGGAAAAGAAAAAGCTGCATAATATTTAAAGGATTTTTAAATATCATTATTAAGATAGAAAACATTTTGATTAAATGCATTTTCCCATGTCTTGGATGTTTTTTAATTTACCCAACAGGTCATTGAGTACAGTTTATTTCTTGAAATAAGAAAAAAGAACCCTTCAAAAAGTTTGAGAGATGTTTTAGTATTTTTTTCCTTTTAGTGCCCAGATTTGTAGCTAGGCTAAGTCAGAGGCAGAATAAAAAATGAACCAATGCTTTTAATTGTAACCTAAAATGCTATCTTGAACTTAAGACATTGTAATTATTTTGAATTTCAGGAATATGCTGACAGAAAATTAAGAGCTACACAAGAGTGGTAAAGTTTTTAACATGTAGCAAGGTAAATTTCATGCTCCACATTTTAAAGCTACCTGTTAAAGAATTTACCACTCTTGTGTACCTTTTACTTCTCTGAAGCTAGGACATTTTCAATAATCAAACATATTTTTTTAGGAGATTAATATGTGAATTTGCAGGTTGGGTTAATTTCACTTATATCTGAATTTAAAATTTATGTCTCAAATAATTCTCAAAATATTGGCTTACTCAATTTCATATATTTGTTAGCATTCAGAAGTATCATTTACTATAGTTTTCAGGGTTTAGAGGATTACAGAAAAAAATGATACTAAAGAGGTGAATTACAAAATTAGTGGTTCTCAAAACAACATCTAGGTTTATTCCTTTAAAAATGATATAACCTTTCTCAAAGTTACATTTACTATTATACAAGCTATCTCTTGTTTTGATTTATTAGGAAGATATTAAAGGCATTTTCTTTTTTATGCAGTTTTCTTAAGACTCCATTAAAACAAATGGCTTTCCGGTCTGTGCCTCTTTCCAAGTCAGATACTGGTTTAATATTGATTTGCAGAAGGGACTCCATTACAAAAACCTTTTGTAATTGTCCATATTCCCTGTGTTTAGGAAGCTTTTGAGACATCCAGGAATAAGTAGTTTCTGTAATGGTGAGAGAGAATTGTATGGTGCAGAAAATAAAGGCTTGTCTGTTGACTCAGGCTTGTGTATGAGTTAGTATATAATTTACTAATTAAAAAAGATGTTAACTTTGAGTTGTATTATTGCTTTCTAGATTAAAAAGAAAACAAACTACCAGCAACTCTAGTTCTGTTTTTCCCTGTGAGAACACTGTCAGCCCACTGTGGAACTGAATTCCATAGGATAAAGAAATTTAAGTTGATTTTATGTGCCATAAAGTTTATGGAAAGATTCTTCACAGGTAAACATTATACTGGATTCTGGAACATTGAAAACATGCCAACTGACAGAAATTTGTAAAGATAATTGAACATGTTATCTTTGCATAGGTAGCAATAGTATATTTACATTTTAAAATGGGTGCCAGAAACTAGGGGTGGAGTATGGTGGAAGAAATGGGGAGATACTGGTCAAAGGGTAAAAAATTTCCAGTTAAAAGATGGGTGAGTTCTGGATCCAGTATACAGCATGGTGATTGTAGTTACTTATACTGTGTGGTATACTTGAAAGTTGCTAAGAGAGTAAATTTTAAATGTTCTCCTCTCACACACACACAATGGTAACTATGTGACGTGATGGAGGTGTTTCTTGTTGATAAGGTGGTCATTTTGCAACAACATTCAAGTGTATCAAGTCATCACATTGTACACCTTAGACTTGTACAGTGTTATAGCTCAATTATATCTCCATAAAGCTGGAAAAAGAGAAGAATAATTTGAATATATACTTTCTTACAGGTTAGGTGTTTTCCAGTTGGTCATGTTCAAGTCTGTTGTTTCCAGTTCTCCCCTGGCTTAAGGCCCTCTGTAAGCAAAGGGTAATAACTGAGTTAGGGTAATGGGTTTCCAGGGTCGTCTTGCCTGTTACCTTATTTAATAAGGTTTGGCTTGTGCAGTCACTAGTTGGATTCAATTATGTCTCTTCCTGACATTTTCATTCATTTGATTGCCCAGACCTAATATGTCAGGGAAGACAAGGTCTGGGGCCAGGACTATTTTCCTTTGAAAGCATCAGTGCTGATCAGATTTAAATATTTGCTTCCCCCCTCTCCCGCTACCAGTCCTACCACCTTGGCCATATCTAAGTCAACCAAATATTCTCCCAGAAAAAATTTTTAAAAGGTTTTTTGATATGGGTCATTTTAAAAGTCTTAATTGAATTTGCTATAATATTGTTTTGTTTTGTTTTGTTTTAATGTTTTGGGTTTTTGGCTATGAGGCATGCGGGAGCTTAGCTTCCTGACTGGGGATAGATAGAACCAGCACCTTTTGCACTAGAAGGCCAAGTCCCAACCACTGGACCACCAGGGAAGTCCCTCTTTCCCGTAAAATTTGTGAAAGCCCCCAAATAATTAAGAAAGGCACACGTTCAAACCTACTGACTCATCTGTAAATTGTTCAGGTAGAAAAGCGTCTTTTATTCATTCAGGAAGCATGGAAGGCAGTTCTAGCAAGGAAGCCACCTGGATCCTAAGGGTCACCTAGATGCATTTCTCTCTTCTCTTCATCTAGGCTCTATAGCTGTCGACGGAAAAGTGTCACCGGCTAGAACAGTGAACAATGGATGTTACAGCCATCAAGCCACTGCAGACACTCCAGCGGGGCACCCTGAGGGGACTCAGGAGGAGAAAGCACCAGACACCTGCCCCAGATGGCTGAGGGGCACATCAAAGGAATGACTTCTGCGAGCCCAGACTCTTGCATCTTCCTGTACACAGCAAAGTGCAAAATTCCTTATCTTGGGATGTCCAGTTTTCTTTACTTAACAGTAATCCCTTGAAGTTCTAACTACCTGAAATTTGTTGCAAAAACTCCTATGTGTCCTCCTACCTCTTTGGGGCTGTTCCTTAGGGTAGTTGTCCTCAGCCTTTTGGGTCCCAGCGACTGGTTGTGTGGAAGACAATTCTTCCATTGCCTGGGGACTGGGGGGAGTGGTTTCAGGATGATTCAAGTGCATTATATTTGTTATGTGTGCGAGCGTGCTACATCGATTTAGTCGTGTCCAACTCTTTGCAACCCCATGGACTGTAGCCCACCAGGCTCCTCTGTCCATGGGATTCTAAGGCAAGGCTCCTGGAGTGGGTTGTCATGCCTTCCTCCAGGGGATTTTCCTGACTCAGGGATTGAACCTGCATCTCCTTAACTGTAGGCAATTCTTTACCACTAGCGCCACCTGGAAAGCCCACATGTATCATGCACTTTATTTCTGTTATCACATCAGCTCCATGTCAGATCATTAGGCATCAGATCCCAGAGGTTGAGGACCCCTGCCTTAGAGCTATCTGAAAGGCTGCTTCTGGGGCTTAAGTCCTCAGCTTTGCTTGCTAAATAAAACAGGTATCTCAACTTTTAGGCTGTGTATTTTTTTTTTCAGTTGACATAGACTTCCTGCAGCGTGCCCACTGTGCCCAGGCAGAGGGGTAGCGGGAGAATGAAGGAAAAAATAAAGCGGATCACAGGGCCCAATCGTGCAGTCAATCCAAATTGCATAACCCGACAGATACTCGCTGTTTTACAGGCACATGAAACAATAAGCCTGCATTTCCTGAGTAGGTCCTACCTCATCTGCGTTGTGATTAAATCACATACTGTCATGGATCTGAGAGTTCAGGGCAGTGAGGCTGGTGTTCAGTGGAAGCCCCTGAGTCTTTCAGCAGAACTCTGCCATGGATGTCGGTTATGGCACCAGCTCCTTATGAACTAAACTAAATGTGGACTTCATTTTAAAAGTCTTAAAAAAAATAATAAAAAAATAAACCAGTCTTGTTTTGCACGTCATGCTCATTTAGTCCCATCTTATCTATCAACGGTTCCAGTAATTAGCTGCCTGCTCACTTCCAAGCATTGCAATATGATTATACAACATTTATAAAATTTGGAACCCATCCTGTCCTCCAGTCAAAGTGAGACTTCAGGATTTAAAGACGCCTTCTTGTGTATCATATCATCTTTGGTGTGTGTAATGGACAGGTCCTTGTGTGGTTTCTATAAATTCACCTAAATGGGGGACTTTTCTAGAAAAGTTTCCTTCACCCTGCCTTCCATGAAGAGTGATGGAAGAATACAGTTAATTTTGTGAGTACAAGAACCATAAAAATGTCACTGACATGAAATTGCCTTTTTGTTTACATTAAAAGGGACAAATATTCTGCCCTCTCTAGAAACTTAATTAGAACATCTTCAAAGACCCTGAAAGAGACACAATTTTAGGAACTTTCAAGTACTGAATAATAGAGGTTTCCTTTATTTATTCCTTTGATTAATTCTACCCAAAGTGCATTTCCCCCCCAGAAGATATTTTCTTTGTTCTTTGTTCATTAACAAATCTTTATTCATCAAGACTTGGAATCCAGTCACTCCTCTTACAGAGCTGTCCGTGTTCCCTCAGTTTCCTTGGCCCAGTGGAGGCACACACATGTGTAACACTCACAGTGTCATTCTAGGAATGGCCTTTTACTCTGTACGTGGCAACAAACAGTTAGGTTGTGTAGCCACGGAACCCACTTTATTTTATAGACTTTAGCTTCCTGAAGAGAGTTCAGAAATGAGGATGGGACTTCATTTGAAACCCTAGGTAAGTAGAGTTCAAATGGTCCACTTATTTATATCAACAAGTTCAATCCAGACATCTCAAAAAATCTCCAAACAATAAATGCTTGAAGAGGATGTGGAAAAAAGGGAACCCCCTTCACTATTGCTGGGAATGTCAATTGATAACTTTGGAGAACAATGTGATGGTTCTTTAACAGACTGAAAAGAGAACTACCGTATGACCCAGCAATCCCACTCCTGGGTGTGAAAGTGAAAGTCGCTCAGTTGTGTCTGACTCTCTGCCACCCCATGGGCTATACAGTCTATGGAATTCTCCCAGGCCAGAATATTGGAGTGGGTAGCCTTTCCCTTTTCCAAGGATCTTCCCAATCCAGGATCAAACCCAGGTCTCCCGCATTGCAGGAGGATTCTTTACCAGCTGGGCCACAAGGGAAGCCCAAGAATACTGGAGTGGGTAGCCTATCCCTTCTCCAGTGAATCTTCCCAACCCAGGAATCAAACCAGGGTCCCCTGCATTGCAGGTGGGTTCTTTAGCAACTGAGCTATTAGGGAAGCCCTATACCTGGAGAAACCCATAATTTAAAAAATACATACACCCCAGTGTTCACTGCAGCACTATTTACAATAGCCTCTTTGGAGAAACATGTGAAAATGTACCATTAAATTCTCACAACTTTACTTTCAGACTAGCATAGCTATCTTGGCATTTCTATTTACTGTATATAGAGATCAGAAAACAATTTTGAAAGCTATTGGGAGCAACAGGGGGGAAAAAAGCACAGATAACCTTAAAATGGAAAAAGTACTGCAGTCACCTGATAGGCAAACCTCAGAAATACCAGCAGAGGGCGCAACAGCCTGTTCTCTAATGAGGGAGAAGCAATGCTCAGAAAACAACCTAAAATGGCATTTTCTCTCCTTGCTTATTAGTTCTTAATACACTAGAAAATGTAATGACTTTATTGACAGCAACATTTGAAACTAAAATCTCAGAAGCTGTAATAATTGTATTCAAGTAGTGACAGGATTATTGTACATAATATCTGACTTTTGCAACTAAAAGTGACTCTAGATCTTTCTGGTCCAATTTCTCTGTTTAAGGACAGGGAGACTGAGATTCTCAAACTTGAAGTTAAGATTCAAGGCAAGAGTTTTGATGGGAATTCTGGTCGTATTATAGGGTCCAGGACTGTGATTTAACAACTCTGCTACTCAGCCATTTGTGGTTTTAGCCTAATAACCGCAGTTCGCCTGGGTAGGGAATTGGATGGGTGGATGGGATATGGGATCACTGAAGTCAAGAATATTTTTCAGCTGATGTTTATCTGTAGAGTCTCCTCAGCTCTCTTGTAAGAACATTCATGTTTTCAGAGAAGTGGCTTTTTCAGGGAGACCCTGCTATCCTCCTGTAACCTCTTCACCATTTTCTAAAGCATCTCTGTTTCTAGCTGTGACCGAGCAAAGTTGTTTTATCAAATGCTGTCTTTCCAGCCTCTGGTTATTTCTACAGTAGTGGGGGAGGGATTTTTCACACATTTGGTTTATACTAAGAAGATACTTCCTACAGCATCAACAAATATCCTGTAACAGGAATGAGCAAGGAGACCAGGCTTTGGTTCTGTAGCCAGAATTGTCATGGAAGTTATGCTGCTATTTAGGAAGTGGAGGCTGACATAAAGCTACATTATTAACTCACAGAAGTAATAAAAGCTTGCGTTCAAAAAGAACACGATGATTTGGAGATCATCTCCGAATCATCACTTGACCCCAAAACAAAAAGGACAGAAAATTGACATGACAGTCATGGACATTAAAATATTGAAATTTTATTTTGTAATTTACATTGTTTCTTCTTGCTCATATTGCCAAGTGGCTTGAAAACTGTCTGAAGGATCATAAATGGCTTACACTGGGAATTATAGGTTAGAAATTTTTTCGAGAAGGTAAGAAGAGATAGAATTTCTGGAAACCTGGCTATACTACAAGATCTGTCCATATTTGTTTCCTTTTATCAGCAGGTACTACTTTCTATCAACCATTTAAAATGGGGATAGTAGTTTAACGATAAAATGACTTTCAATGTTTTACAGACAATACAAGGTAAATAAAACTTCATCAAATATCTGATTGTAAAACTTTACAGAAACTCTTCAAAATATGATTGAAAAATATGGTTTCCTTTTGAAAGTATCTGAAAATCAAATTACCCAGATCATTACAGATTTCACATTTAACTTTAAGTTTCAGTTTGACAAAACTTCTCTATTGGAATACATATTTTAGAAGATGAAATCGGTAAACCCAGATTAAATGAGTAAGCAATTTCCCCTTTGCCTGGCTCAGACAGGTTGTTGCTATTATTTTTTAAATTTCCATTACAATGCAGCAAAATGAGCATCCAATTTTCAGCATGTGCAACATTTGAGCAGAAGGTTTTTTAGGTAATAACTGAATGTCCTTTTTCTCATAAAAAGTAAGTGGCTTAATCACATGTTCTTTTGGAGATATCCAAGGTTTAGCATTTCACGATTTTACCATCTTTGACCAAATAAAGGAAATAAGGAAACCTCTCTGATTTCTCTATGAGAACTCTGTGTGAACAGCTATGTATAACAACTTGACAACATCACGGGAAATTTCCGGAATTTTATTTTAATACCTATTTGAATTGGTGATGATCCCTGAGGACAGGACTTTCCCCATGCTTATTCATTAGAAACTTTTCTGGATTAAATGCTGGCAGAAGTCCTCTTGGGAGCAGGGTCTGCATTATTTAAAAGGTCTCACAATCTATTCTCATGTCCAAATTTACACCGTTTTGTGAATCACATGTTTTCCTTTGGGTCAAGTTTAGCCTTTTTTCTTTTTAAATGAATAGAAACCTAGCAAGTAGAAAATCTGATGATGATTTTAATTGTATGAACCAAGAAAGTAATTTAAACCAAGTAGTATTAAAAACTACAACAATTTATTGCTTACTAATTATTATCTTTTTTCTTTTAGTGTAGATCCTGACTGAAAAGTTGCCAGATTTTCTAATGTATGATTTGAGATACATAATGTGTCACAGCTAGTGTGAGAAGCACCCTGGGTCATAGCGTCCCCATTCAGGACAGGAGTTGGGCTGAATGAGAGGTGGGTTCTTTTCCCAGGTTGAATGGGGTGGACTGTCTAGAATGGTCCTGCTGGAGCCCAAAGGGGTGGTGAGCAAGTCCAGGGCCCCAGTGTCCAGCAGGCAGGTTCCCAAGGCCCCACCCCAAACACACAGGGTCTGATGTGAATTTTGATCTGAATTCAAAATTCAGATTTGGGTTATCCTTTTGGATTTTAGAAAGGAAATACATGGCAGATACATAGATCATATGGTGTCCCGACCAGCTTCCTACTGTCAGGCACATTAAGGATTCTGGAGCTAAA